AAAATGAAAATGGGGCGCCGAATTTTGAAAGTGGGTGGAAAAAAACACATTCTCGAAAAAATATGGTTACTTCCGCCAAGAAAAGACGTGTTTATAGGCTACAGTATAAAACAGACTAAGCGCATAGGCGACATATATTAAATTACAGACTATTTTGCCTAACCGTATTTGCTACCTCACAGCTCACACGAAATCGTTCATATAGAAACATGATCAGTGATCACAGGCAACGTTTCATTACCGGAATATTGGTCAGGTTTCGATCAAAGCGATCACGGGAATTATGCCCTTTTTTGCTGGTATTATGCCCTTATAATTTGCCGTTTATTATGCTTCACGAATCACGAGAGCGGCGCAAATTAGATAGTTGAAGTTATGATAACTGATGTAAAGTTGTGTACGCAATTTAGTTGTTTGCACAAGAAGCATGAGTAATGTAAGTAATGAAATAATGCTGAAACATGCCCTTTTGGCAGCCAGACAAGGAAACCTTAAAATGCATATGCGTGGGGTGCGTGTGTTATTGAATAAAAAAGCTTTAAGTTGTAAATGTGCTCAGGACAGTAGATCAGTAGAGAACAGAATTGGGATTAAATTAATCGCTGAAAGTAGTTAGCATTGCATAATTTAAGTACTACTACTAAATTCTAACCAAATTGCAAATTTCGACACGTTATAATGCCGTTTCCTGACCATCAGATTTCTGTCAAATCTTCCCCCAAAGTCCAGGAAATGGCATTTTAGAGACTCTAAATTCAAAAATTTTCCTGGGGGTCATGCCCCCGGACCCCCCTAGTAGACAATTGTAACATTATAGGGGCGCATATTGGTTGACAGCCCACTGGCCCCTCCAGAAAAATAGTACCCAGCACGCCACTGTATCTGCTTGTCATTCATGTGGATGGACTTAACTAAATTCTTCTTCAGGTTCTATGTATCGACGAAGCGACCGCAAGTGTGGACTTTGAAACGGACAAGTTGATTCAACAAACAATCCGAGATGAATTTCAGTCGAACACTGTACTTACTATAGCACACAGGTATGGTGCCAGCATGGTGGCCAGATGAATTGTACTCTTTGGTTGTCGCTGTATATACACATGTAAAAATCTCACAACTTCTCAACAAGATGTGTTCACAACAAGCTTGCTACAAGCTTGTTGCGAACACATCTTGTTGAGAAGTCGTAACAAGGCTGTTATTTTATCACGTTGCTACAAGGTTGTCACTCACAACTTGTTGAGCGAGTTGTTGGAACAACTTGTAACAGGTTTGTTGAGCTCAACCATCTTGTAACAAGTTCTCAACAAGCTGGGAACAAGCAGTGCGAGCACATTCTGTTGACAAGTTGTTGGAACAGCATTGCTACAAGTCTGCTAGTTCTGATTTGACCCAAGTTAATTTTCTTTTCTAGAATCGAGACAATTCTGGACAGTGATCGTGTTTTGGTAATGGACAAGGGTCAGATTGCCGAGTTTGGTTCTCCTGACGAACTGCGGAGAAATAAAGAGTCCTTGTTTTCAACTTTAGTCAATGAGAGCTGATCAAAGAACTGTCATAAAATGACGAAATATTATTAAATGTATTATATAGTTAGAAGATGTATTATTTATATTTATTAATTTGCATGTTGTCAAATTAAATATTATAATACAAGTAGAATTTTATGTTTGTTTGTTAATGTTTTTAATGTTGTGAGTAGAAATATGTGTTATACACGCAAAAATGCACAACCTGTAACAAGCCTGCAAACAAGTTGTTACAAGTCTGTTAACACAAGCTGTCAACAATTTGTGTTCGCACTGCTTGTCCCAGTTTGTTGTAACAAGTTTGAAACAAGCTGTTAACAACTTGTGACAAGCTTGATGGCATTATCAGCCTTGTTACAAGACTGTGCTAACAAGTTTGTTAGAGCCATGATATAACAAGGATGTTACAAAGTTGTCAACACAAGGTTGTAACAATCTTGTCATATAAAATATGTAACGTACTTGTCAGAACAACCTTGCAACAAGTCTGATAATTTCGACAAGTTTGTTACAAGTTGTCAACAAGTTCCAAATCTGTTGACAACTTGGGACAAGCAGTGCGAATACATCTTGTTGACGGCTTGTTGCCAGACTTGTTACAAGATGTGAGATTTTTACGTGTGTACACGCGACACATTTTATACACATGCAAAAATCTCACATCTTGTAACAAGTTTGTCAATAAGACGTCAACAAGTTGTCTTCGCACTGCTTGTCCCAAGTTGTCAACAGGTTTGGAACAACTTGTTGAGAACTTGCAACGACCTTGCCGAAATTATCAGACTTGTTACAAGGTTGTTCTGACAAGTCCATTACATGCTTGGTATAACAAATTGCATGTTACAACCTTGTGTTGACGACCTTGTAACACCCTTGTTATATCATGACTGTATCAAACGTGTTACAATGACCATGTAACAAGTCTGATAATGCCATCAAGCTTGTTACAAGTTGTTAACAGCTTGTTACAAACTTGTTGCGACAACTGGGAACAAGCAGTGCGAACACAACTTGTCGACAGCTTGTGAACAGATTTGTAACAACTTGTTTGCAGACTTGTTACAAGCTGTGCGTTTTTACGCGTGTAGATCGTATACGCACGTAAAAACGCACAAGTTGTAACAAACCTACAGCAGACTTGTAGCAATGCTGTTCCAACAGCTTGTCAACAGGATGTGTTCGCACTGCTTGTTCCCAGCTTGTTGACAACTTGCTACAAGGTTGTTGAGCTCAACAGACTTGTTACAAGTTGTTCCAACAACTTGTTATCGTCGTGCAATTCAACAATTTTTGGTCAAGTTGTGAGTGACAACCTTGTAGCAACTTGATAAAATAACAGCATTGTTACGACTTGTTGACAAGCTTGCTACAAGCCTGTTGCGAACACATCTTGTTGACAAGTTGGGAAATTTTTACGTGTGTACTTGTAAACACCAACAACACTGACATTACACTCCCCGGAAGCTCCACGCAAAGATCTCGTATATCGTATATAACACTCGCGTGTAAGACCACGCAATGCGTGAGGTACGCGAGGCAGGAGATCTTGTTTGCTTGCAATCCAAACATGGCGGAATTGTTCATTTGAGAATTCGACGAATTCCTTTCCATTTTGTCGGAAAACCAGCGGAGCTCCGTGTTAGAAAGGAGCTGTAATAAATACTCTGTTTACAGAAGCAGAGTTTGCCGTGTAACTGGTGTTATATCGTGTTACTGATGATGGATAAATGTACTAAAATGTTGTACCTTTGTTCTATTGGAACATAAGTGCTTGTCAGGAATACATACACGGCAGTATGTATTCTGAATGGGTTTCATTGAGTGAAGAAATCAGGAATGATGAGAGTGGTAGGAGCGCCTTGTCGGTATACCCGAGCTCGGTTGGCCGAGATGTTGCCAGGGCGGTCGTCAGGAGCCTTGTGGATAATCCAATTGAGAACAGTAAGGAAAGATTCAAGTCTGGAGAAGATATAAAATGGACCATGCACGTGATATGCTTTGGCTTAGGACTGCCGCTCTCCGAGGGCGAGACATTGAAAGGTTGCGTCACAATATACCTGGACTGGCTTAGCTCGTTGTCTTCGCAACCGAAGCAAGAAGTTCCTCAAGAAATACTCAAAGATCCCAATATGTACTGCCAAAGAATTTTACAGCATTTTAAAAACTTATTTGTACCAAAAACTGAGGGAACACTTGCTCTACAAGCATCGTTATGCATGAAAGTGTTACAAGGCGTGCAACGGATTTCGCACGAATGTAGGAAAATGAATGAAACGACGTTAAAAGTCATGTTGCAATTTTTGTTATCAATTTCAGACTTTTTACTATCGCCGCCTTTTGTCCCAGGGGGGTTGACGGAACAACTTTGTAGGTTGTTAATTGAGGTGTTGTTTGACGTTTGGCTGCAGGCTTGCGTCTGGGCGTTCCCAGATCCGCCTCTGTGGAATACATTGAAAGAGATGTGCTGTTCTTGGCGACACCATACGGATTTTGTTGCATTGTGGAACAAAACAATATTCTCCATCACCCGACGAGTTTTGCTGGTCGAATACGGTAGTAGTTTCCCATTGTACCCGCTAGATGATAAAAAACATGAGATACGAATTCCAACGAGTCTCAATAACAAATGCTTAGTTCAAAGTTGGTTTAGATTTCTACATATAATGGGCAACCCTGTAGATCTGTCGAATAAGGAAGTTATTGGCAACACTCCAAAGTTCAAGGAACATGCGTTAGTGAATACAAATCAATATGAACCATCCAAACACCCTTGTCTTAGCTCGATGCCTCAGAATTTTTATGCTGCGATGAAAGGGATTGCCACATTAGCGGATACGTTTCTAGGGAAGAAATGCTCGTGTGAAACGCCTGTGATGTTTAGTCATATTTCTCCGGATAATTCGACAGTCTTCCCTTCAAAGCACGAAAACAAACATCGAGTTCAAACTGCAGTTTCAACCGACCAGCTCGCTAACTTCACACGAGAAATTGATTGGAAACTCCCGGGGAGATTTGAAAATCAGTCCAGTTATCTTTTTGACAAAGCAATGGGCGCGAAGACGTCAATGCCGATGGAGAACAGTGTTCTACATTTGCTCGGAACTTGGTTGTTTGAAGCAACGCTTGCGCATGTTGACATTAGAAGTGTCAAAATGAAGCTTTGTAAGACATGGCAGAAGTATTTGACACAAGATGGAGGAAGGTAGGGGATAGGATTAGGTACAGGGGTAGATCTATAGACATGTTAAAATTGATGCATAAACTTGTATGCATGCCTTTAGACAATTAAGCTATAATATACAGTGCACATGGTTCTCAGCCGACGCCCAATGATTTTCAGTGTCTATAGCCTAGACAATTGCTGGTTATTTCACAAACCAAAATAATTCCCTCCTTATTGCCGAAATGTTAAGGGTTCACAACATAAATTGTACACAAGGCATAAAAAAAATACCTGTGGTTCCGGTTCCCGACCAACCTTATTTTTTTTCTGTTATTTTTTCAGTGCAATTGACCGTGTGACCCTATTTTCTCTGGGTGTTTGCGGGCTGCTGCCAAAATGATGTCTGTTGTCACACTACTGTAATTATGAAAAAAATATTCAAAAAAAAAATTATTTCCGACCTACCGACGCTAATTTTTTCGCGATATGAAACCGGAACCACAGGGTTTTTTTACGCCCAATAGTCTTTGTTAACCCTTTGAGTTGCATTGCGCCTAGCTACTTTATTATTTTACTCTGTCTAATGCCAGATGATTTTACTCGTCAAGGGGAGAGTGCTGGCACTTAATGGGTTAAATATTTGGATGAAATGACAAAACCTCCAAAACCTAACTCCCTAAAGTGGCTGGAAATGTCATTTCTGAGGGTTTAAATTTCAGAATCTTAACCATGTAGAGAGACGTCCTTGGATCTTGAATTTATATAAAGAATACTAATGAGACAGCATCTATTGTAGTCATGTTGAATTACAGTGCGTCTACAGTAAGTGGGGCCACTTAGAGAACACTAACCAATCACATTGCAGAACAAAAATTGAAAAAATCAACAAACGGCTCATTAGCCAATCAGCATTAGGCCAAAAACAATTTGAACAAATAAACGAATGTCAAACGGTAAAAATAGACTTGTAAAGTAAACACTGCAGTTAATGGGTTCCTGAGTCTTTCTTTTGATTGGACGAACTTTAGTTTGATTAGATTGTTCTTTTGTTCTGCAATGCGATTGGTTAGTGTTCTCTAAGTGGCCCCACTTACTGTAGACACACTGTAATAAAACACTCCTATGTGTGTTTTAAATAGTGCGTAAAATTTTCTGCAAGTATATTAGTCACTAAGCCAATTAATTTTTTGAGATGAGAGCACAAAAGAATAACAATGCGACGATCCTTATGTTTTGTGTAATCTTCAAAATTGTGAGATAACAAATTGGCCAAAATTTCTGGGAACCTAGTTTCCTAGTTCCACCACATTTTTGCCCTGACCCTGTGTGCATCAGGGCATATTGCCAGTTAATGGGTTTTTATTATAATGTTTTTTTAGTGTCGAGAATGATGACACTCAGGGTGCTGAAGATGAAGGCTACAATGAGTTTGAGCAAGGCCGAGCTGAAGCGTTTGGTGCACTTTGTCGAATCTTCTGTAGTCAGAGATCTGGCGTGGTTTTACCCGTCTATCTAACAAGATTTTATTTCTCACTTGCCTCAGGCTTGATCTATGACAAGGTTTGATGAAAATAGTATTCACAATACTAACAATCTCCAAGGCATTTGTTGGAAGGTTATACTTTATAAAACTGGTACAAAACTAGCACCTCTGATATGCACATAAACATCTCACAACTTGTCAACAAGATGTGTTCGCAACAGGCTTGTAGCAAGCTTGTCAACAAGTTCTAACAATACTGTTATTTTATCAAGTTACTACAAGGTTGTCACTCGCATCTTCAATGCGTCCTTGCTTCAAAAAGTTACAAATTAAATCTCTCTCTTTTCTTAGTCTTGTTCGGGTTATGTTTTGTCCAGCATCCTACTCAACTCCACTGATCTCTTGAGAGTGAATTTACCTGGAGTGGATGTCATCATTCCTCACCTGATTGCAGCCTTGGAAAAAGTGCTTGGACAGAATGATATCAAAATGGGGTAGGTTGTCCCCATGTACAATATTGCAGGGGTGAATCTACGGTGACGTGATTAATCGATAAACTGACAAAAATCGATGTTTTTTGAAAAACGATTTAACCAATGTTGCTTTTGATGGAAAACCGAAATACCGAAAAAAATCGGTATTTCAATAAAATCGGTATTCAAATGACGCTTTTGTGATTAAACTAAAAGAGAGTTTATCCTATACTTCCATAGGTCCATTAAAAAAGAATCAAGTATCCTAAAAAAATACTTGAAGTAAAAAGTAAAAGTACTATTGCCTGTAGCGTGTAAAGGGGGGGGGGACTTCTCCAATGGATTGACATACAAAAGACACAAAACAATACACGCATTATACAGTATGCGTGCACCTAATATACAATATTTCACAGCATGGTCTACCCCGTTGAAGATATAAGAAATACATTAAATAAATAATGCTTATAAGTAAGCCACAAATGAAAGATCCCAGACGCATGTAGAGGTTCTATTACCTATCCCAAAATTAAAATAAATCAGAAATAAATCACGTAAAATTAAACGAAATTAGAAAGTAACGAAACACTTCGCCACAAAATGAAAATAACGAAGTAGAACGTTTCTTCTTAAAACGACTTCGTTCCAAGTAAAAGTACTCCAGAAAAAGATTACTTTGTTACATGCTCACTTCTCAAATATTGTACTCAAGTACAGTAACGAGGTACATTTAATTCGTTACTTGACACCACTGAAGTTTCGTCAGAAAACGTTGAGCTGGTGTAGGTAACAGATTGTCTTTGTGATTTCGTCTCTAAGGTGTGATGTTCCAATGGTTCAACTCCAGAGAGCTGGAATTCATCTTTTATTGTCAATGTTGTGTCTTCCGTATCATTTTGGAGAGTTAGCTATTGCAGGTATGACAATCTACAGTACATGATTGGCAAGACTTTATAGGAAGTATCTTGACCATCACGAGCGACAAGACTTTGTAGGAAGTATCTCGAGCAACCTCTGCTAATATTCTGTTCCGTTTAGATGTTTCAGACCAAAACGTGAAAAAGAAGTCGGACAATTGTTCAAGTGTGACTTTTCATTCGTTGACATCAAGACTCGTCAAATTGTTGATTTGTGCGTTGGAAAATGAAGTTGATTCTCACAACACGCAGCTTTTACTTGGAGGTTTGTCAATAGCCTGGCATTAAGCTGGACTTTAATTTGAGACGGGCAAAAGACGCTAGAAATCTCAGACTTTTAAGAGGCAGTAGTACCAGTCAAGTCCATTAACGAATGTGCAGTTTGTTTGCAATTTGAAGGCACTATATAGTTAATATCAAACATCGTTCTGGATTAATAATTAGCTGTGATTACCCTCCACACACAACAGCAAATGTTACCCCCAAATTAGATTCTTGCGCCCAAAACACAAGTCCTATTTGGAAAAATATTCCCTTAAGGTGGTTCCCTACAGTTGTAAAGAAACAGCGGCGAAAAATAAGGTCTTCACAATGACGCAAAATATTTGCTATTTATGAGAAATGTTGATTTTTTTGGAAGTAGAAACGCTTGCGTAATCTTGATACTTCAAGCATAATCATCAAATGAAATTTTTGCTGACGTGATAAAAATTCAACTCGACCAGATCACGTCATTTCGTTACCCGGTGCCATGCTTAAACAACTGTAGGGAGCCACCTTAAGCCGGTTTCCCACTAGGCGGAATTTCGCGGGCGGAGCGGAATTTTTCTTTGTTTCTAATTGGTTCCACCCGAGAAATCGCAAGACAAAGAAAAATTCCGCTCCGCGCGGAAAATTCCGCCTAAAGAAATAACCAATGTCTCTAGTGACCAAATCTAGTACATAAACAGGATGCGGAGGTACGCCAATATTACCGTCTGGTATTTCAGCCAAGTACACGTCGGTACGCGGAAGTCTCGCTAACACTTTATTGGAAGTTAAGTGGGTACAGTATATGTGTAAATGCGACATGTCTTGGCGTGAAACATGACTGGACCGATAAGATGAGACTAAGGAATGTTAGAGTGTTTATGTTAGCAGCTTTTCTTGTTATATCTTACGTTACTGAAGGAAAACTCTCCTTTATGTATTTTGTCTTAGAGTGTACCTAACCTCAATTCTTCAAACATCTCATTCCTAAGAACCTTTGAAATGATATTGTAACTTATTTTGAAGATTTTCGTTTGCACACTTTGTCTCTGAGTTATTTCAGTTTTATTGATATGCAAATGTCCGGAATTTACGTCACATATGAATAATGACTGATCAAAGAATGTAAGGTACAGTCAAATATCATGAAATAGAAAGGCCAAATGGTGTTTTACATAGGTATGTAATCCCCCCACAACTCCAAACTTCACTGTTTTAATGAATCAAACTCGATAGTGAATACGATATACAAGCTTTTACTTTAAATCATTATGCATTTGTGACGTAACTTCCGGATATTTGCATACCAAACAAACTGAAATATCTCAAAATAAGTTCTTTGTAGCACCAGGAAAGTAATAAGCTAATGGAAGAATAGGGTTTTGTTTAGTATGTATCTCTGGCGTGCCCTATCTGAGTGAACATAACGCTATGCAATGACAGTATTCAGCCCTTGCAAGTGACGCCACAATACATAATGTTAAAGCTAAATAAAAAGGTTTACATGCAGCATCCATTTGCCGTCAAAATTTCACAAATTTGCTTCGATGGAGCACCAGTTTATCGCTCATATTTATCTTGATTAATACGAATTCAGAAAGGCAATTTTTGTTTCAAATTCACACAGTCGTTTCCTTTGCTGTCCGTACACCAAAAACCGCATGATTTTTTAGCATGACATCATACTCCCGCATGACAGCAAGACCTGAATATAGGTGTGACTATGGACAAATTTTGCTGACGTTGTTTACATTGTTGCGACATAATAGACCTTATGCATAATGACTCACATGCCTGGGTACTATTGTTCGAGAAGAAATTTTTGTTTTCGGAAGCATAGAATAGAATAAAAATAACAAAGTATTAGAGTTATGTATAAGAGTTATTCATTCATGTAGGTAATTCTAAAGCTTAGTTACCTTTGTTCTATTCTAAGGGCGCTTCTCACACACTGCTGGGAGCGGAGCTGCTGCAGCCGTCCGCCGCAAGCTTGACTTTTATTTACACAATAACAGCTAACACAGCTAATCATACATAGCTCTGCAACATAATTACGTTATTTACATAAAAATTACTGAGGAGTTACAAATACTAATAAGTTATATAAACGTCCACTGCATCTGACTATAATTAACGGGCGGGCGGGTGGGGATTTATGTCAAGCGTTGCGGAAGCAACAACAACATGTGCTGTCTTAACCTGCACCACCCGAACACACCCGATTCACAATCGGGCTCCCAGCCTTGTGTGAGAAAACATTTTCTGCTTCTTTCGTACCTCAGCCAGCAGAAAATAACACTTTCCATTTATTGACCTGACCAGTCAGACCCAAATTTTTGTCTCCGTATCAATGGAAGGATCTGGTCCATGATTCTCAAATATCTGGCGAAAATGGACCTCATTCTAATTCTATCTAAATTTTCCGGTCAGATAGGTCAGAAGCCGTTTTTTGTTCCATTCAACAATTTGACCGGTCTGGCCGTGTTAATGGAAAGCGCCGTATGCTTCTGTGAGTGATCTAAAGTTGAGTTTCTATTATTTGCAGGTGTAATGTTATTTGTCCAAGACAGTGCTTTGGTTGAGGAAGAAAGAGATACAATCCCGAAATCACCCGGACCTCAGCAACCACACGAAACATTCACGCTGGAAGTTCAGGACAGCAATGCGTCAGGGGGGAGAGGGAATCCCTCGAGTACAGAGGGAAGGTCGGCGGAGGAAATTGATCCGAGTCAAAATGAGGTTGCGGATTCAATGAAGAACGATTGTGCAGATAATCAACACTGCTTAAGTAAGCTTCCCTTTCCATCTTCCGTGTTCTTGTTTATCTACTGCACGCCCACAAATCTCACAGCTTGTCAAGAAGATGTGTTCGTTCGCACTGCTTGTTCCCAGTTGTTGACAAGTCTGGAACAAGTTGTTATCATCTTGTAACAAGGTTGATGAGGCCAACAGACTCGCAACAAGTTGTTCCAACAAGTCTGATATCATCTGCACGTAACAAGTTGTTCACAAGTTGACGACAACAAGCTCGTAGCAACTTGTTACGAACAGCCTGTATTGTTCCAATTCATGTTTTAAAAGATACAAAATTTTCATTCAGGTTGGTCATCCGCGAGTTCTCTCTTCACACATCTCACAAATCTTGTTAACCAGAAGTTGATCTTCGGTAGCAAGTGGAAAACAGATTTCCACGTGACACTCTCGGCGCTTGAACTCATGTCAGCCATGGCGGAGATGAATATTAGGAACATCAGTAAGTGGAAGATGTTCCTTTTTTCAGAAAGCGGTATCAATTTCCCGTGTGTAATACAAAATGACTGAAAAACGGCAAACTTCGCAGGGCTATATTATCCGCATTTTACAACATTTCGCAACGAAACTTCGGAATGTTACTAATTTTGTGATGCTCTTTCAAGCTGTGGTGAAATGTTTGTCTAGCCTTGTCTAGATCAAAATTTTGTTCATTAGGGAATAGGTCCATTGTTGAAGGGTCTCACTAGTTTACCTTAGAAAGTTCTTGATTGCTGTATCAGTTCTAAACTGTTCTTCGTGCATGTAAATTAAAAGGAATTTCTTCTAAACTATGTTAAATGATTGTGTAGACAAGCAAGAATGTCAGAAGACTATCAAGTGGTTGTGTGACTATGTTGAATACCAAGCCAAGCAGCCAGCTCCGTTTCATTTGCGAAATCTTCATTCAATGATGGTTGCTGCATTCAACTGTTTATTGACTTGGATTGCATCACATCCTTGGCTGTTGGATGATCAGGTGTTTATTTATGCATGACATCATGTGTTACGACGTCATGTCGTATTACATCATGTTGTATGACGTCATTATGTTCTGATAACATCATGTTGTATTACGTCATGTTGTTTTATGACGTGATTTTCTTACACGTCATCATTATACATGATGACGTCATTATGCACACATAACGTCAATCTATATGTATGACGTCATCATATACAGATGACGTCATTATTCCTGCATGACGTCATTCTGTGTGTACGACGTTATTCATATGTTAAGACGTCATACTTTCATGACGCCATCATATATGTATTACATTGTATAACAATGGCATGATTGTCAATGACGCACATACATGTATGACGTCATCATTATATATGTATGACGTCATTATATATGTATGGCATCATTATGTAACATGGCATCATTGCAGTATAGTTTCCACAAGTAGAAATAGATCCGAGGTAATTATTTCCTTTAGAAAAGTGTCCAAGCTATACTCGAGGTGGTTGAATTAGGAATCTCTGGCACGAAGTCAAAAGTAAGTCTGGCCATCCTACCTATTATCAAGGATAGATCATGTCGATACGATCAAATGTGCTTTACATCAAGTAGTACGCTTATCTAATTACATACTTAGCCTAGACTATTTTATCTTCACAACAATTGTGATATTACTTTCTTAACTATGTTGATCCTAACCCACCCTGTCAACTTTCCCTGTGGGAGGAAACCAGAGCAAACCCACGACTTTCGGCAGAGCGTTGACTCACTCTTTTCACATGAGTCCGCAGTCTAAGTGGAACCCAACAATATGTATGCTTATGAGCGCACGCTCATAGACACACGAAAATCATGCAGTGTGCCCGTAAGCATGCTTATGAGCATATTACAACAGGGTTTTGGTAAATATATTGGCGTGCTCATTAGCATACAAAAATCCAGTATATGCTCATGAGCACACTCATAAAAGCGGGATCATACAAACAGCCCCTTGTTCAGCAAATTGTGCATGCTGCCTTTGATCCCTTGGGGGTGAGGCAGCACTTTCCTTGCGATAGTAACTCCTAGTATTATATACACGACAAACATGCAGGGCCACGATCTCAGAGGCGAATGGCACTTGCTCTGACTAGTGCGCCACTGAATCCCCGTATCCGTGGTATTCTACGTTGTTTGATCATTTCTTGTTTGTCATGTTAGGCCAGCGAGCATCCTGAAGAAGAGATGAAAAGTCGGCCTAAAGGGGAGAAATCACTAAAGCCTGCTTCATTTCGTGTACAAGATGCAGCTGAAGGAGTACTGAGTTATATCATGGAACATGTCGGTGCTTTTCCCTCTCCATGTGGTCCTGCATCGTCTTCTTCTCTTCTTGATGAAGATATCTTGATGGAATTCTTGGCTGAAGACGATCAGGTAGTATTAGGGGTAGAGCCAGCCCGGGTACCCGAGCTACCTTGCTCTGCTGAGCTGATTTTATACCGTGTTCAGATGAGACTTTTGAGGCGGGCTGGCTCGCCAAAACAAACCACTGGTCTCACCACTATATCTATTGTATAATATAAATATATTTTCTAACAAACCTGAAATTCGCACTGTTTTGCTAGCAACTGTCACGGTTATAACCCACAGAATCGTTCACAGAGACCTTTTAGGTTTGAAGTCTGACGACGAAATCTTATTTACAACAATATATTCTTGTGAACACAGCAATAACACTCAGCCAGCTTAGGCGAGCCAACCTGGGTTATTGCGTTTCTATGGGAAATTCCCAGCCTGGTCGCCGTAGATCTCAGGTCAGTGAAGGCGGGATCTCGCTTAGGCTGGCCAGCTCGGTTCCCATATGAACGCAAATAATAACAAAGGAGGGATCTCGCCTAAACCAGGCCAGCTCGGGTACCCGGGCTGGCTCGCCCTATATAAACAACCCCTTAGATATAATATTAAGATAGCAAACCTCGATAGTGGTTAAAACTGTGTTATTATTTTTCTCTATAGAATAAACGTTTTAAGTATTTCGTGATTGATGACAGTATTATTCTTGGAATACTTCAAGAGTCTGTACAAACTCATGATGGTTAGTGTCTGAAAATGCTGTTACAGTGATAATTACCGTGCTTTGTCTCTGAGCTACCCAAAAAAGACTAAAGACACTTCGACGTTTCTGGCGAAAGCCCTACGTCGGCTTAGACACAAACCGCGGGTAGCCCTGAGCAACTTGTTGCATAATACTGCCTGCACTGGAATACGCACACTTTCATTATTGTCATAATTCGACACTTTTTTATCCTCTTTCCAGGACTGTCTCCCACTGCAACCATCTTGTTGCGTGGTCCTACGGGCAGAACGTCATGGACGGTAGAGTTGAGACAAATTCCTGAGTGTAAAAAGGTCTGTAGTAGTCTTAAACATAGCAGGAAATAATATATATATATATATATTTATAAATTTGTATTATACGCGCGCGTGAAAAAGTTTTGAGCCGAAAGTGGTTATTTTTATCGCGCGTATTTCAAATATTTATTATATAGTAGAGAGTGAGATACTGAGAAATACTCAGTGAGATATTTTCCATATCTTCACTAGTGAAGATATCGATCACGTGACTTTTAGTATTTATACAATTTTTTGCTTGGGACTATATAATAAACAGAACATTACACGGTGGCTTGAAGATATGACTTTTATCTTCTCGTATTAAAAACAATATTTTTTATCTTCTCGTGTTAAAAACAATTAATGTTTTCCCCACTCGAAGATAAAAAATCATATTTTCGCGTCGCCGTGTATAAATATCCTCTATATACAAAATTTGCGAACGTCACAGGGCTATATTTTCCTCATTTTACAACATTTCGCAACCAAACTTTGCAATTTCACTAATTTTAACATGCTCTTTCTAGCTGTGGTGATGGATTTTGTTCTTCTTGCCTAGATCAAAATTTAGTCTATAGCTGGAACTGCCTATTGCTATTGACCAAGTGTTGTGTTTTTGCAGGAGATTTTAGGTGTATCTCAAAGTGAAGCGCCCAGACGACCTGAGCCTAATCTCGAAATTCCTGTACCACCGCAGTGCAGTCGACAACATTTTCCAGCTGACATAGAAACGGTTGTCTTAACTAAAGCGTGAGTATATACTTCAATTTCTGACGTCAAGATGGTTCATGTGCGACCTACCCCAAATATAATTTTTGATATTTGTCGTATTTGGATCATTCTAAGAAGAAATGTAATGCATCTTTATAGTAAAAAACCTCATCTTGATCAACTTTTTCACTGTCAAAGTTTCCAGATATGATGTCATGCATTAGGTGAATTTTTGGTACATAAACTAATTTGCAATTCACCTAATGACATCATATCCGGAAACTTTAACAGTGAAAAAGTTGATCAAGTTGGGGGTTTTATAACTTTTATTATAAAGATGTATTACATTTCTTTTTCGAATGACTCAACTATTACACATACCAAAAATCATATTTGTGGTTAGTCACACTTTAAGAATACCTGGTTCGCGAAACGGATGTCGGCAATCAGAAAATATAATGTTAGTTCTTTTCATTTTTCTTCACAGAAACTCAAGTATCCCAGCTGTAGATAACATTCCATGTGAAAGATTGTCACAAGAAAAAGACCCCATTCAAAGTTTGATTGACAAACAGGTTAGCAGTGTGTAGGGTCCGCCCCTCATGTCATAAAGACTGCAGTAGTTTTCGCTACTAATCAGTTTTCGTTTTCATTTTAGAGAGAAGAAGAAACTGACGCTCAAGGAATGATTGAAATTGAAAGAGAAAATTCAACGTTTCCTTGTCCACTTACAGAAATGAAACCACCCAAGTACGACACTATATGTATAATCATTTTTTTAATGATTATGACTATTAACTCACTCCCCATCGGGGATCTTCAGTGATCGATTACATCAAGTATTACGCTTACTTATATGGCCTATACTAAGCTTAGAGCCTTAGACTATTTATTCCTACAACAATTGTGATATTACTTCCTTAACTGTGTATATCCTAACCCACCCTGTCAACTTTCCCTGTGGGAGGAAACCAGAGCACTCGGAGAAAACCCACGACTTTCGACAGAGCGTTGACTGAGCCCACAATGATGGATGAAAATTATTTCACCCGAGTACATTTACACCATAATCATTGCAAACTTGGCCCTCACTGCGACGCAAGAACCAGTGTAAGCACAAAAGGAACCGAACGTATTCATTTCTTATGTACTGTCCTCCTAACGACGCAACTTAAGTATAAACATAAACATAAACATAGAGTAAGATATCAAAACGTTGCATTCTTTTCCTTGTGCGTATGTTTTCACTTATGTTTATGCTTGAGCTTTATCTTGTGTTGTACTGAGGACATCAAAGCGTTCCGCTTGTTTATCATTGCGCTTATTCTTGCGTTGTAGTGAGAGCACGGCTTCAGATACGAGTTCTACAAAGCATGCCAGATTTACTCACCCATTGATTGCTTATTAATACTTCGTCTGATATAGTTTTATGATCGTTTTATGATCTGCCTGACAAATGATGCTTCTTGACAGATTCTCGTTCCTACTTTAAATCGTGCTATTGTCAACAAATGTTATGTAGGACACGTTTTAGACATATTTTCCCTTGCCTTTCAGGTCAGTGAGTGAGTTCAGTGCGTGTCGTATGATCCTAGCTCGCCTTGGTCTCCTCAGACCAGATGAATTTGAGAAAGTTCGTTCAATGGACACTAGTACCGTAACCTCTCTATCTTCGCTCAATTCCTCCGAGGACACATTCTATGAATCAGTGCGAGAGTTAGATCGCTTGCCTACCAGATGTTTTGATACAGTGTTTGTACTTTACGTGAAGCGTGGCCAACATGAGGCAAAACCCATACTTGCTAATGAGGTTTGTCAAAAATAATGTTGGGAATTTGTTGTGAGGATAAAATATTTTTTAAAACATGTTGGTGTTGCTATTATTGTTAATGTGGTTATCGTTGTGTTTGGGCCTGTTGTTGTTGTTGTTGTTGTTGTTGTTGTTGTTGTTGTTGTTGTTGTTGTTGTTGTTGTTGCTGCTGCTGCTGCTGTTGTTGTTGTTGTTGTTGTTGTTGTTGTTGTTGTTGTTGTTGTTGTTGTTGTCGTTGTCGTTGTTTATTATAATAATGATGATGCTGTTGTACTGTACACACTAGTCCCATCATTTACTTTTCAATAGACATTTTACATTTGTAAATATGTCATTTTCTTGTGAAACATTGCTATTTTAATCTATTTAGATCAAACATTGCGAGTACAAGGATATGTTCTATGAGTTCCTGCAATCCTTGGGTTGGCCAGTAGATGTGCAAGAACACCCTGGCTGGACTGGTAATCCCACATCGAGCTGGAAGCTCAGTTACTTGAAGAATCAACCTTTACACGAGAACCAGACAAGCCTCTCTACAATATCATCTCATAGTTCTGAGAGTGAGGTGTCGTTAACCTCTGTACACGAGGAACGCATGACGTCAGGCAGTCAAGATGGATCACGTGACACTGGTATGACTCGATAAAAACGTCAGCTTTGCTTCCATTGAAAATCTGGCAAAAGCTCGTTCTACACCAGAAGCTCGCGATACGTCTATTAACAATGTGCACCCATTCGTTTATCTCTTTTCGACATGTTGCATGCACAAAATGATAATCTGTTTTGGATCGAAACCGGACCGACAATATTAATACAATAAACATTTCGGGACCGGCTTTTAGGACCGAATTCATAAATGTTAGAAGTGTCCCCCCCTTCCCCCTGCTAATGTGCGCCCCTCCTGGACCTGATCAGGTTTCTTTGTGATTACTTTGTTAGATTCTAAAGATGGCGCCGTAGTTGAAGACTGTCGTATCATGTACTACGCAGACACGTGCACGGAGATTGCTTTCATAGTGCCCTCACTGTTCGCACGCGTCGGGACAAAGCGTAGGAAATCTCGTCAGATAACTCCCAGAACAAAGAGAAAAGAATTCGCAATGAAGCGGCCTCAAAGTATCTCAAATCTCTCGAGTACCAGCAGTTCGTCCAGTCTGGTCGATTCCTTACCCGAGACGCGAGGCCTCAGCTTTGGTCGGAATACAGCGGACACAGGTATTGACCTACGACATCTATCCAAGCTGAACACGCACTCCACATCCTCCGAGATCAATATTCTTGTGATTTGGCTCGAGAGGTTCCTCGATCACGAGTTGTTTCCCGATATGGAAATTTTGAATGAGTTAGGAATCAATAAAGAATCAACAATGGTGGCAAGTCCCAGTGGCAAACCAGTGGTGAGGGAAACGGCAATGATCTTCATTGCACCGCTACACAACGGCTTGTTTCGTATTCACACGAAATGTACTATCAAGTAAGTGCAACTACGGTGGTTTATATAGAAAGGCCTGGTTTACACTATCAAAGTTTCTGTGATCACAGTAGGAATTTTGCAAAGGTAAATTCTAAGTTTTGAAGGATTTGTAAGAAATGTTTGAGCAAACTGATTCAGTGTTAAACAACGAGCCAGTTTCCTCAAACATTTCTTACAAATCCTTCAAAACTTAGAATTTACCCATGCAAAATTCCTACCGTGATCACAGAAACTTTGATAATGTGATCCAGCCTTTAACGACAGTGAAACACGCAATTCGATTGATCAACACCCGTGCAGGATCAGACAATTGGGATGCCTTCGCGGGGGCTTTTTAAAATGTCGGACAATGAAACCAGTTTAACATGTGAAGTTAACAGTTTATTAAACGAGAGGCAAGTTAACAAAAACGTTAATAAAGTTAACTTGGGATGCTGCTCGACTTCAGAAAGCGTAAAAAAACACTCACTTTCCGAACGTCTCGCAACATCTCGCGTGCATAGATGACGCTATCCTGCACGGAAAACCATTTGGTATTCCTTTAATCACTATGGCGGTCAGCCTGCAGTTGTCAAAGAGAGAAAATAGTGTGATCTTTTTCATCGCTTGTTCCAGGTCTCCAATGGCTGGTCCTTTGGTGGACGGAATGGTAGTGAGCCAGCGATCGTTGGGTGCAATGGTTAGACATACTGCTGTCAATATTGGGCGCAGGCGCCGTCTTGACATCGACCAGTAAGTGAATGAAGCTAACAAACCGTTCCATCAAATCTTTAAACTATTAATTTTAAATTCTTCTTCTTAGAGTTCCAGTAAGTATCATCTCTTATTGGTTCATTGTTATTACAAGAGGCAAACCTAAACTAAAACTAACTTTATTTATAATGGATAGCTCTATCAGTTCTAAACTGTTCTTCCTAGAGGTCCAGTAAGGATCATCTCTAATTGATCCAGTGTTACTACAGGAGGAAACCTAAACTAAACTAACTTTACTTATACTGGATAGCTCTATCTGTTCTGAACTGTTCTTCCTAGAGGTCCAGTAAGGATCATCTCTAATTGATCGAGTGTTACTACAGGAGGAAACGTAAATTAAACTAACTTAATTTATACTGGATAGCTCTATCAGTTCTAAACTGCTCTTCCTAGAGGTCCAGTAAGGATCATCTCTTATTGATCCAGTGTTACTACAGGAGGAAACCTAAACTAAACTAACTTTATTTTTCCTTGTAGTTACTCTCCACCACATGTCTACCGAAAGTTGAAAATCCAAGATATTATTCGCAAATGTCGCCGTAAAATGACCTTTCCTGAATTTTATGCTTCGCTATTTGCCGAGTGAGCCATCGCGCACTTGATACAATGACAGATATCCACATACTAATGTTTCTTCGTTGAAAATATCCAGGAATTCGTTCTACAATTGAGATTTCAAAATATCGACTGCTGGTGAATACCAGGACAACTGGAGGTTACAACAGTCTTCAGTGGATATCTCTATATATTACACAACAACATCACCAATATTAAACAGTGATAATATACAGTAATTTATTCTAATTGCAAATCATATATATTACGAAAGGAAATCATGACAACGGCTGAGAATGGATGGGATGGGAGCCCAAAATGGCTGATCATATATTTCCAATCAAATCACCCCATTCCATTCTCTGTAGTTAAAGTTCAAAAATTGTGAAGTACATATTTAAAATCTTTTACTGATAAAGCTGTCAATTTAATGTCGATTTAGATATTAAAATTATTAGAATATAAATAACCAAGATTAATTTTGAAAAAAAATGTGAAGTTTTACATTTGATGTGGGCAACTGATTAAGTACTGTTTAAAACTGTCAGATAAAATTTTCCAAATGCTCTTCCAAGTCATGAAAGTTTCACATCCGTGACAACATAGTTAATTGGAGAGATGGTTTGGAAACTTATTAGCATTACAATAAACCTCACTATCTATGTTTTTGTTCAGGTTTATGCAAAAATGTGGTCTTTCATCGTCACGTGCGTATTGTATTTTTGCTCAACCAGCCAATAGCGACGGTTTTGTCCAATTGCCCATCCATGACTTTATAACAATAAGACATTTTGAACATTCCTATTGGTTGACTTGAGAAAAATACAATACACACGTGACGATGAAAGACCACATTTTTGCATAAACCTGAACAACATAGATAATGAGGTTTATTGTGATTTTATTGTAATGCTAACGAGTTTCCAAACCATCTCCTCTATTAACTACGGTGACAACAAGCTCGTAGCAACTTGTTAGGAACAGCCTGTATTAGTCTTGTTGGAACAACTTGTAGCAAGTCTGTTACCATCATTAACCTTGTAACAAGATGATAACAACTTGTTCCAGAATTGTCACAACAACTGGGAACAAGCAGTGCGAACACATCCTGATATCGGCTTCACAACAACCTTGATACAACTTGTGCGTTTTTACATGTGTACACACGTAAAAACGCACAAGTTGTTATAGGTTTGCAAACAAGTTGCTGTTCACAAGCTGTCGACAAGTTGTGTTCGCACTGCTTGTTCCCAGTTGTAACAAGTTTGTTAACAAACTGTTAACAACTTGTAATAAGCTTGATGGCATTATCAGAATTGTTACAAGGTTGTTCTACACACGTAAAAATCTCACAACTTGTCAACAAGATGTGTTTGCAACAGGTTTGTAGCAAGCTTGTCAACATTTTTGTAGCAAGCTTGTCAACAAGTTGTAACAATGCTGTTATTTTATCAAGTTGCTACAAGGTTGTCACTCACAACTTGTTGAAAAATTGTTGAATGGACATTTGCATTATAGACTAAATTTTGATCAAGACAAAAATTTCACCACAGCTTGAAAGAGTATCACAAAATTAGTAATATTCCAAAGTTTCGTTGCGAAATGTTGTAAAATGCGGATATTATAGCCATGCGAAGTTTGCCGTTTTTCAGTCATTTTGTATTACGCACGGGAAATTGACAGCCTAATCGGGTGTTGGGGCATCAATTTCCCGTTTGTATACGTAATACAAAGTGACTGAAAATTTCAAATTTCGCAAGGCTATATTATCCGCATTTTACAACATTTCGCAACGAAACTTTGGAATATTACTAATTTTGTGATGCTCTTTCAAGCTGTGATGAAATTTTTGTCTAGATAAAAATTTAGTCTATAATGCAAATGGTCCATTGCAGGACGATAAACTTGTAACAAGTCTGTTGAGCTCAACAATCTTGTAGCAAGTTATCAACAAGCTGGGAACAAGCAGTGCGAACACATCCTGTTGACAAGTTGTTGGAACAGCATATGCTACAAGTCTGCTGCAGGTTTGTTACAACTTGTGCGTTTTTACGTGTTAAAAACGCACAAGTTGATACAGTCACGTACAACAAGAATGTTACAAGGTTGTAACAATATTGTTATATCATGACTGTATCACACTTGTTGAAACAACCTTGCAATAAGTCTGATAATAACAACAAAGTTGTTGACAACTTGGGACAAGCAGTGCGAACACAACTTGTTGACAGTCTGTTGGCACACTTGCTACAAGATGTGAGATTTTTGCGTGTGTGGTTTCGGCCCACCCAAAGTGCATGACGGACTTTGAATATGAACGTGACCTGCCCAGCCGCCTGCTCGCAGGCTAGGACGTGACCAAATTACGTAAGAAAAAATTCCCTTTGTAGAAAGTGGAAACACCGCTTTGTGATAATCATGAGAAATTGCGATAATGGAGGAAGACGACGAAGAAATGATATTGTCAAAATAATTTCCTTTTTATTCATTTAAAACAATACAGAAAGAGGCTTAGAACTTCTACACAGGATCGATGGCGGCTACGAGACTATAATGACAGACTTACTTAGCCCAGGAGAGTTCATAAAACAGCGATGGAAAGTTGTAAGTGAACGATATTAAAATATTTGTACTGTGTATATTTGAATTTGATTACGTTTGCTCGAAATAGCTTCGTATAAATGGCGAATTCTCTGGCTGTCTAAGAGCACTAACTATTTTTTAAATGTTAGTATTATAGGGTATTTATTATTTTAACTTTAAAACGGTGTGAAACCCTTATTTCAACAAGTTTTAGCGTTTTTAGTACAAACTCTAGAAGTCACTTTATCAAGCCTCAAACCAAACGGTTGTACAGTATTAAAATATGTTGTCTGTTTAACTCGTTTAAATCATTTATACGTTGCTTTTTCTACGCTAATATTCAAGCTAGATTTGCAAGGTTTTTAAGAAAGATTAGTTTTATTTTATTCGTATTTTTAAAACTTTCTTTTTGGTGAGAATTTAATCTTTTGACAGACATAAATTTTTGTGTCTGTGATGATGACATTTCGTTTCCGGTTTAATCAAATTCTTCGAAAACTAAACATTTGTGTTATTAACGTTTGCATTTTCGAGACCCACTGTTTCACTTTCGTTTCATAGAATTTGTGAATGAGTGAATTTGATGCTATACCATGAAATAATTCTTTTAATAACAACACAAACTGGAGTGATATTTAAATGCCCTGTCATCAATATATTTGAGTATTTACACAATAAAATTGGTGGAGCATTAGCATGTAAAATAGGAAGGCTTTAATGGTGTCTTTCAAAGCTAGGGGCTGTGATGTGGAAGCCTGGCTGGCTTAGCGAGGCAGTCCAGTATGCAAGATGGATTTCTCTTGTGTTTATATGAGAAAATTTCATCTCGCTTGTCGGGATGATTTGGCTGTTTTGACATTGTTTTGACAGTTGTTTCTTTGAAATTGCTTCCCGGCAACCGGACCAGCCTGTTTTATCCATATCATTGTACAGTAATATTTACTATAAAAATGTGGGCCACTAGGCTAAATGGGCCATTAGGCCAGCCCAGATTCCATATAAATGGCCCCTTGGTTGTCTGTTAAAATTCATGCCAGATGTTAATAAGATGTTATTGTTTTGTATTGAAGATCCAAATTAATGACAGTTGAGATACTTGCCCATTTTCAATTAAAATTAAAATACAAGCAAATGACAGTAATTAGTGAACCCCACTCAAGTGGAATTTGACATATGATGCAATAAAATAAAGCAGGGCATGTTTAGTCATTCCAAACAACATCCCCACCTCTCCTACGAAAGAGTTTGGAAATTAATATCAGCACCCCCTTACAACCCAGTACATTTTACATTTGGTCGTTACAGAAAGATCTACACTTCCCTACAGAGGAATTTTTGCCGTCCAGATGGAAAGAGGAGAAAAATTTGTTTCTCATAATAGTAAATGTATTAGGACATCTGGATGAGATATGGATGTTTTCTGGAGTGACCCATAATGAAGTAGATTTCTCTCCCCCTTTCCGGATGATCTACATTATGGAACATTCATTAGAGCATGTCCCAGCAAATTGTGTTAATATGAGGCAGTTTTGTGAACCCGGTAAGGCCAATGGAATTAAGGTATCAGTTTACCCTCACCCACCTGCGTGTGTTATTGGCAGCCGCATGAAATTTTCATGATTTCAATATTTTTTCATTATTTGTCAAATTTGTATATACAGTAGCAAGTGTTTCAAAAATGGCTTTCTGTTGAAATTATTGGCAAATACTGACTTTGTTTATACAGTTAGCAAAGCCACAATGAAACGGAGTCAAAGTCGACATAACTGATAGCTTGGAGCGCTAGCAAAATGCTCAAGAATTGTCAAAATTTTCTTGGATTTTTTCAGTCGAAATTCGGATTTTTAGCTCAAAATTTGACAAATTCAAATCGTGAAAAATAATGAATAATGAAAAAAACTGCATCAATTAACTTTTGAAATTCTAGGTGACGGTAAACAGCATAAACTGATCGATACCTTAATTCTATTGGCCTAATGCCCAGCACTTTTCCATGAGAAGTAAAATTGTCAAGCCTAAAACAATTTGCATGTGCTGCTGTTTGATGTGTTATCAAGTATAATCATGTTTTGACTATAAGTTTTTTTAATTTTTCTAGATAAGAAAAATTGGAGGGGGAGGATTTGGTAAGAAATTTTATATCTTCATTATAGCCAGTTGTTTGAAAGTGTAGAATATACATTAACAAAACAGTTCATATTTTGCAGGAGAAATATACGAGGGTTTTGACCAAGAAACAGAAGATAATGTTGCAATCAAGTTGGAATCTGCGTCGCAGCCAAAACAAGTTCTCAAAATGGAAGTTGCCGTGCTTAAAAAGCTACAAGGTCTTTATTATGCAAATTTGATCTCAAAAGATTATTTGAATTAAATGTCTGTGTCATTTTGTCGTCCACTTTTCAAAATTGAAACTAAACGAGGCGGTTAATTGATAAACCGAGAATAACATTTGGGAAAACAAAAAACTGTTCGAAACTCAGTAATATTGAAACAAAATCACACAATTAGTTCAAAATTTTCTGACAAAACTTTCAACAAGAAAATAGCACAGCTAATGGTCACTTACATATTCTAAAAAAGGCAGTAATATACCATGAATACAATTGCTTTTAAAACTAAAGTCCTGAACATATAGTGTGAAGTTTAATCTAACTGTTAAATAATAGTATATTTTGGCGTAAGTTATAAAATCGTTTTTTTTTCCTGTTTTTTCAGACGATATTAGGTTTTTACCCAGAACCTACTATTGTTAAGTCACTAACATTTATTAACGTTACTATAATTCCATCTCTCCAGGTTGTAATACAATCTGCAAATTTTTTGGCTGCGGCAGAAATGACAACTACAACTACATTGTGATGTCGTTACAAGGCAATAATCTCGCTCAATTAAGACGAGAGCAACCACGAGCAATATTTTCACATGGCACCCTGCTACGGTTGGCTTATCAAATTTTACAGTCTATTGAAGCAATTCATGCAGCTGGTTTCCTTCATAGAGATATTAAACCTGTAAGTTCAGGAATATAATAGAGGGTGCCCCCCCCCCCTCCTCTGTAAAATCTGTGTGTCTTAAGAATCTTTTCTCCTTTCAAAAGGTGCCACTCAGAGAAAATCTATACCCCCGGAAAATCTTCACCCCCACCCCTACTAAATCGACACCTCCAGAAAATCTTCACCACCACCCCACCCCCTGCAAAATCCGATCCTGCCCTCGACCTAATGGCAACCTCAGAAAAGTTTCTGCACACACCTTCTTGGAAAATTTGTATGCATGAAAATTTATGCACCACCTAGCAACCACCCCCCCCCCCCCCCCCCCCCCCCCCCCCCAC